TAGCGCGTAGTATATAATAATTAATTAGTTACGTATATATATATATATATATATACAATACATATATATATATATAAATAGATAAATATATATATATATGTATATACAAATACAAATATATATATGTATATATATGTATATATATATACATATACATACATATATTCACATACAATAATGTATATATTATGCATATGGATAAATACTTTATCTATATCTATATAGAAATTAGATGTATCATTTTTGTTTATGCACATATTTAAGTATATATATACATAAGTCAGTATATTACCTGGTCACCAAATTGTTGCTCTCATACTAGACTGTACGGCATATACTTTTGGACAATATCATGTATGAAACCGCCAACTACGCTGTCGCAAGCAACTCCGCAATCTCCATATCTCACATATCAAATGTCGTCCTCTTTAAATAATCACTCACTTATGGGTACAGCATATTAAAATAGTATATATTATTATATTCTAAAATTTACTCAACCTCTCTGCCACTACACTAAATCGGGGTCTCGCGCTTAAGTCTGCACCCATACACTCTTTGGCCAGTGCCAGTAGGGCATCCCGGACATCTTTATCCGTGTCATACGCATCACACTGATCACACATCTCTTCGATTAAACATCCGAAGGCACGTACCTCCAACAACTCAATGCGGTCGTCCTTATAAGGAAATGCTGCACCCATATCCGTCAAGTAGCTTTCATTCGTCGATGATGAATATAGTATATTGTGAGCGTACAAGTCTCCGTGGGTGTGTTTAAGTGCGTGAATCTCTTTAGCCACGCCACTTATACAGAGCAAAAACCTTCTGGCCTGTTCGATGGTATCGAACCTTTTGGCGCCCGGGTACACATCTCTTGTGACGCTCGCGAACGATGGAGGGTCTCCCAGGCTATGCATGTCCCTGATCAGACTCATAACAAGCCCAGCGCCCGCACCATTATCCGCCCCTACGTAGGCGTGTACTGGTATTAGTCCTTCCACATTGCGGAGTGCCACAGCTGTTTGCACCTCATCTAATACATGTCCATCCGACGTTAACTCTCCTTTAAATAGTTTGATAGCCACAGCGTCCTTGTGTGTACTGTCAATCACAGCCTTCTCGTCGTCTTCTTCCGAGTGGATATTACTTTGCGTATTCTTGGTATGGACGTACGCACCACGAGCCATAGCTAAATACACATTTCCACTAGCCCCTGTACCCAGCGAAGGCAAGGTCTCGAGGACATAATCATTCACATCTACCCGAAGAGATTGGTCCAACTCACTCAGCGACTGGATGGAAGACGCAGTGCAGGGGTTGCCGCCCAAACCCAACCAAGACAACTTGCTAAAGTGAAGCAAGCATTCTGGTATCTGCTCAAACTTGTTGTTTGACAAGCGTATCAACTCCAGGTTGTCATTGAGACCACTCTCTGCCAGCAAGGGTGGTAAAGTGGTCAACTGGTTATTGGCCAGCATGAGCTTTCGTACACGTGGCAGATGCGTACCAAAATTCTCTGGTAGGGCCGTGATCTGGTTGTCTGTGAGAATTAACCAGCCTACAGTCGAGGGCAGTTGCTGCACACCGAGTTCCCCAGAGAACAGATTGGATCTGAAACTGACCATGAACAGGGATGATACTGTACGTAAATCCGGCAGAGTTTTGAACACATTGCTAGAGCAAAATAGTATGCGGAGGTTTGGTATCGAATTCAGCAGCGTTGCAGGTATCGAGCTCAACGTGTTGTGTGATAAATCTAGGTGTGTGAGCCGACTACCAGCGTTGTCTTTGGACAGCAATTCTGCCACATCATCGGGAATCTCGTGAAGTTCCAAGTTTGTTAGATTTAACTTGGTATCCGTGAGAGAGTGCGTGAACGCCCTGACTCGCTCATAAAGAGTACACAGATTAGCAGTGCCCATCCTTCATATAGCGCGGCTAAATAGCAAAGCTGTATCGAGTTTATGTACAAGAGGTATCCTACAGATATATTTACTTTTGCATGTATATTAGTTAAAAAATTCACTGCTGTTTATTCAAATATTCTCTTTTGAAAATATGTCCTAATTTTAAGCCCAACGCAAAGTGAAAAGCGGAAAGTCCGTATTATTCATTTAGGACAGGCAGCTAGTTCTGTAAAAGTCTCCAACTTCGGCATTCTCCAAGCTTCCAGCGACTCTATACTCTATAGTCTATTGTCCAGAGTCCAGAGTCCTGACTCCCCAGCAATCTGGCAGTCACCACTCTCCAGAGAGATCAGCCTGGTGGATCTGAATGACGTCGTACACATAAAGTCATCCTATTGGCGTCGCCAGTGACAACATATTATCTAAAAATAGATATTAGCCTAATCTGATGATGTCATTGTAACCAAATAATTACGTAACAATAGTCTTCAGATAAGGGTGTGCGAGAGACAACATACATGCACGATTGCACAATTGCACGCAGCGTCGCAGCACTAAAAGAAATAAATAATACTGTTCGAGTAGGTGGTATCTAGAAGCTCTCAATACAACATACTTTTGAGAATTGATTGGGATAACTTACCTTTTATTGTGCCTATAGGAATTGCAATCAGTACGTGCGCTAATATATCACACGATGTCGGACAAGTCGGCAGTCGCGATCGTCAACTCGACATCTCTGTCTCAATTCTTGGTCACGGTATGGCAAAATTATTCGCTGTTTTCATTAGAAGACGCTTTCTGCGATTCATGCAGGTGCTTGGCATTTAGTTCAAATATTTTGTTTCGGCTGGCTTGCTTTAGAGTGTTCGGTTCTGGCGGTATCCATTCTTGTGGTCACTGCTTAATTAATATTGGTTCTTAAACGAGATATTAGTATTGGTTTGTACTTCTTAAAACTCCCATTGATTTGAAGCTATAATGTATGTGAAATGGGTTCCTATCAAGCGCACGTGTACGCGTGTTACGTCACATCATATTTAGTGCAGACCCATAGCCGTGCTACTCTCCAAGTATGGACAGTAGTAAACAATTTCGAAAACATATCTGTAAGTGTAGAGTGTAGACGTATATCACTATTTCAGCTTGTTGATCAATCGCATTATACAATTATAGTGTATTCCGTAAAGTCTGACTCATTGGTTGTTAGAAGATCTCGTATCGTTTTTCCGAGGTACATACGTTTTGCCTGGAGAGCAATTTCACTACGAGGATATGTCTCTGACTTCAAAACTCTTTGTTGTTTACGAGCAATAAAACTTTGATATAACATTGCTATAAGAGAGCACTCACAAAGCATGCTAATAAAAGTTGGTTGGAGTATACCTGTTTCGCTCATTTTTCATGTCTCCTCCCATCATCGATGTAGTTGATATTAGCGTCGATCGCCGGAACTGTGATGTTCCTAGCCTGGATAATCATGCGCAGAATGGTTCCGAGGATTTTCTATGCTGTGCCACTTATAACCCGCAGGTAACGTCACAAGCTGTATATAGGATTAGGTATGGGAAATAGTATATATATA